CAATGTACGTGTGAGCAGTCAGGATGACGAAACTGTTCTTAACTGTTGTGTTTTCTTGCATACCCTCGACCTTTAAAGTTAATTTTGCAAATGCAGGTGAGCTTCAGGGTCTCTTAACATTATTCTTGTTACTCATACGAAATATTGATATTTTACCAAATATATACAATCAAAATCGAAAACAATTAAACTTTTATTAAAAATAGTACGTGCACAAAAATAATACATATCGTTGTATACAAAGATTGATTTCAACAAATAATGGACCCCTGAAGATCCGGGGTAGAATAGGTCTTCAGCAAACCATGCTTGCCGTAAAAGGCCACTATGCTTTTCGTAAAAGGCGAGTAACGGGACGGGTGGTCAGGCTCGCTGACTTGGTTGATGCAGGTCATCGATCCCAATTGCGTGGATCGATGTTCATGATGTCACTCACTGGATTGTCTGGTCCAGACTCGATTATTTACAGACCGCCGTCATACAGCTGGAATATTGCTGAGTGCAGCGTTTAACAACAACAAACCAAACCAAACCAACAAATAATGAGATAATTTGTTTATAGATATGCAGAACCACCAGTCTCAGATACGATGTAAGATTGTTTAAGTAATATTTCTAGTCACTGTGTTAAGGGTCAAAGGGTTGCCATCAGCAGAGTTCGCTCCCTTACACCTTAACTTCCGGTAGACGTTTTTACAAAGGTCAAGGAAACACACCCGGAATCGCTTGTTGAAGATTCCGTACAGCACTGGATTAAGTAGAGGACTCAGAAACAGCAAAGACAGCGACACAGAGTGTCGCATCTCGTCCTGATCTTCCGCGTTGATAATCACATCATACAGGACACGACCCTGAAACAAGACATTATACACTGGATGATTGTCCGGTCAAAAAGCCTCTATGTAGATTTTGTAAGTAATGAAAGTAATAATAACTTCTTGTTTCGCCGGTTGAATCTCATGACGCTGCATTATCATTTACCCGGTGTATGGATCATTGTTCTCATACATTTCATTCTCAGCTCCCTGGGTAGTATGCAACCGAAACTGTTGTTTCAGGACCTGTTCAATGTATAGCCACATTACCATCTCAACCTACCGTCCTTCCGTGTGCCCATCCACTGCTTGGTGAGGCATAGATTGTTTGTTGAATATTGATGACGAAGTAAGTTATTTTAAGAATTTAAAATAGATACTTTAAATGAGAGTCAGGAAGTGGGTTGATATATGAGCCAATTGTTTCTTAGGCTTGCAGGTTTGGGACTTCTGACATGGTCAAATACACGAATATGTATAAAATGAGTGAAATAAAAGTCCATAATAAGTTTTACCAAATTTTTGTTTCCTAGGAAATATGTTTGGATCGAAGATTTGCTCATGTTCATAAATAGTCCCAGAAATATAATCTTTTTTAGATGCATATAATACATTTTTTATCGACATGGAGCCCAAAAACAATGCTTTTTAAGCTTCGACAATCTAGACTTGTCCAATCATTCCAGACTTTTTAATTTATTCTCTAGGGTCTGGGAGACAGACTATCAAGCTGCTAACTACGATATTAATCACCAATCGCTCACTTAACGATCTTTGGGGGGGGGATTGAATGAATGGACTTCTGATGAAATGAGAACGGCGGTTTTACTAATTTCCTGGTCTAACCTCGTGCTTCACAGGTCTATATGTTGACACTTGTTTTGTTGACGATGATTTCTTTGGAAACTGAATGAATGCAATTGTATAAATTCAGATGAAATATATACAACGGTTTTACTAATTTTCTGGTCTAATCTCGTGCTTAACAGGTCTATATGATGACACTTGTTGTTTTGTTGACGATGATTTCTTTGGAAACTGAATGGATGGACTTGTACACATTCTGATGAAATGAGTACAACGGTTTTACTAATTTCCTGGTCTAACCTCGTGCTTTAACATTTTTGAAATGAAGTGTTGGGTGATTATGTCTACGGCCATTGTATGTATACTACTCAAAAGAAGTTAAAGAACACCCGGGTGTTCTTTCTTATCCTTTGAGTTGCATACCATCTGTGAAACAATTACCCCATGTAACAATTTTTGTTGTTGTTGTAAGTATTGACAGGAAATGACTAAAATAAAGTAATAATAATAACAGATCACATTTATACCCCTGTCAATTGTTTTATCAGATTCTTTGGAAGTATACAACGAAAACGTTTTGTGGTCACATTAGCATGTTATCCTCTCGGGTACCCATTCTCTGCTGAGTTAACGTTATGTTATTGCGTTCAAACAGGGTTTCGAGACAATTGTTGAACAACAAGAGAATATTAGACTAAATTCACGTAGCCTGAAAAAGAAACTGGTTAAGATCTTACCAAAAATGGTCCATAACAGAGACAGAAGAACAGCGACACGACGATGCAGACGGTAGCAAAGGCTGTGCGACGTTGACGAACATGGGTTTGTGTTTGATAGCCCGTTACATCACCAGACTGAACTTGAGCTCTCTTCCGTAGCTTCATATGAAAAAGGGCAAGACATTTTCATCTTTTGTTTCTTTGTTTGTTTGTTTGTTTGTTTGTTTCTTTGTTTGTTTGTTGCATCCAGACCAGTGATTGAAATCAAGAGCAACATCTCAGGCAAAAAGTCATCGAGTCCGACCACCCGATCCATAAGTGGCATTCTCGCACGAATCTCCATAGGGGAAACTCCAGTGTTAGAAACGCTACTCTACTAACATTACTCCACTGCTATAGTCTACTAACATACACATTTTTTTATCTAGCGGCGTTGGAGTAGTATTGTGGTTAAAGCGTTCGCTCTTCACGCAGAAGACCCGGGTTCGATTCCCCACATGTGTAAAAAGTGTGAGGCCCATTTCCGGCGTCCCCCGCGACGTGCTATCAGTGGAATATTGCTAAAAGCTGCATAAAGCTCACTCGTTTGATTCATTTTTGTTTCAGACGTCAAGAATAACAGTGTACAGATCTTTTACAAATACATCAGCAAGTGAGCCTTTCCCTTGAGAATTGATTGATTTAGTATGAAAGGGTGCGGCGATACACAACTACTTGTTTCAGTATACACACATTGTGTTTGCCACTCCCACATACACTGAATTACCCCAATGCCCCGTTGTCTATCAGGAAATGGATTTTCAGTAACCCGGAGGGGATTTCATTTTCAAGTCCGGAAATACGATAATAAAAGCTACAAAAACATGCCCATAATAATTAATTCCGACTATATCATAAGCATGTGGCACACGTCATAAACGCATGCAATGGAAAGTCAATTGTTCACCTGAAAAAACAACAACGGGAATATATGGTCAAATAAAAGGGAATTGCACAGGACATCATTTCTGTCACTGATGCTTTAAATGTGCACCACAAGTGCACCACATGCATGTCTATGTAAAGGCTTAACTGAAGCCTTGAATGCTGTAGCCTTGATCGAACAATGACGTTCTTAAAATTATTTGAAATTTTCTTAGAATATTACATTCTGATTGAAGTCTTTGGTAATATGTTCGCATACTGCATTCTGATTAAAATGTCTGACATCTTTTTAGATTATCGCATTCTGATTGAAATCTTTGATAACTTTTTAGAATACTGCATTCTGATTGGTCCGCCAGCAGCACCGAATTAACGTTAGACCATGATGTTGCTGACGACCGCATTACTGCGAAAGAACAGTTAGTTTCCGCCAGGCTGGCAATTTCAAATACCGATCTTACTTTATTAACGTTGCTAAATAACGTGTTACGGTTCCTAAATTATTCACTGCAAGTGTGGCAATATATATTATCATCCAACTGGCTCCCACAGGAGATATCGCTTGGATGAGATCAAGCGATATCTACACTGTAGATATCGCTGCAAGGAAATTGCATCACAATGCTTTGCAGACCATTGTGACGTCATTGGTTACCATATCGTCACAATCAAATGACATCACTAATGGCCCTGCTACTGAAGCTGTGAGCAGTACTTTTTACACTTAAGACACTGCTTATTACTGTCTACAAACTGAAAAAGTTGGAAGAATGATGTTGGATGATAAATAAAATCTCACCCTCGTGTCTTTTGATATCAAATATATCAACACTCGTTGATAAAAGTGGAAAAAAAATCCTCGGCAAGTCTCGGAGTTTTCCCACTTTTATCAACTCGTGTTGATATATTTAATATCAAAAGACACGAGGGTGAGATTGTCTATTTTTGAAATTCTGTTGCAGCAACATGGTTGACTTTTGGCGCTATTCCATCACGTACTGTGACGTCACAATGCGTAGACCTCTCTTGTGTAGTTTATGACGTCATGATGGGTATACTTTAGAACAAAACAGTACGAAGGTTGTTTCATTTTCTCAAGGGATGTCAGTTTGAAAATTGCAGGATATTTGCCTGTGTGATTTTCTTGTGTTCCATTGTGTTTCAATATTATGGTAAAAACAACTAACATTACTCCACTGCTATAGTCTACTAACATACACATTTTTTTTATCTATGGGCGTTGGAGTAGTATTTGGGTTAAAGCGTTCGCTCTTCACGCAGAAGACCCGGGTTCGATTCCCCACATGGGTAAAAAGTGTGAGGCCCATTTCCGGCGTCCCGCGCGACGTGCTATCACTGGAATATCGCTAAAAGGTGCATAAAGCTCACTCGTTTGATTCATTTTTGTTTCAGACGTCAAGAATAACAGTGTACAGATCTTTTACAAATACATCAGCAAGTGAGCCTTTCCCTTGAGAATTGATTGATTTAGTATGAAAGGGTGCGGCGATACACAACTACTTGTTTCAGTATACACACATTGTGTTTGCCACTCCCACATACACTGAATTACCCCAATGCCCCGTTGTCTATCAGGAAATGGATTTTCAGTAACCCGGAGGGGATTTCATTTTCAAGTCCGGAAATACGATAATAAAAGCTACAAAAACATGCCCATAATAATTAATTCTGACTATATCATAAGCATGTGGCACACGTCATAAACGCATGCAATGGAAAGTCAATTGTTCACCTGAAAAAACAACAACGGGAATATATGGTCAAATAAAAGGGAATTGCACAGGACATCATTTCTGTCACTGATGCTTCAAATGTGCACCACAAGTGCACCACATGCATGTCTATGTAAAGGCTTAACTGAAGCCTTGAATGCTGTAGCCTTGATCGAACAATGACGTTCTTAAAATTATTTGAAATTTTCTTAGAATATTACATTCTGATTGAAGTCTTTGGTAATATGTTCGCATACTGCATTCTGATTAAAATGTCTGACATCTTTTAAGATTATCGCATTCTGATTGAAATCTTTGATAACTTTTTAGAATACTGCATTCTGATTGGTCCGCCAGCAGCACCGAATTAACGTTAGACCATGATGTTGCTGACGACCGCATTACTGCGAAAGAACAGTTAGTTTCCGCCAGGCTGGCAATTTCAAATACCGATCTTACTTTATTAACGTTGCTAAATAACGTGTTACGGTTCCTAAATTATTCACTGCAAGTGTGGCAATATATATTATCATCCAACTGGCTCCCACAGGAGATATCGCTTGGATGAGATCAAGCGATATCTACACTGTAGATATCGCTGCAATGAAATTGCATCACAATGCTTTGCAGACCATTGTGACGTCATTGGTTACCATATCGTCACAATCAAATGACATCACTAATGGCCCTGCTACTGAAGCTGTGAGCAGTACTTTTTACACTTAAGACACTGCTTATTACTGTCTACAAACTGAAAAAGTTGGAAGAATGATGTTGGATGATAAATAAAATCTCACCCTCGTGTCTTTTGATATCAAATATATCAACACTCGTTGATAAAAGTGGAAAAAAAATCCTCGGCAAGTCTCGGAGTTTTCCCACTTTTATCAACTCGTGTTGATATATTTAATATCAAAAGACACGAGGGTGAGATTGTCTATTTTTGAAATTCTGTTGCAGCAACATGGTTGACTTTTGGCGCTATTCCATCACGTACTGTGACGTCACAATGCGTAGACCTCTCTTGTGTATTTTATGACGTCATGATGGGTATACTTTAGAACAAAACAGTACGAAGGTTGTTTCATTTTCTCAAGGGATGTCAGTTTGAAAATTGCAGGATATTTGCCTGTGTGATTTTCTTGTATTCCATTGTGTTTCAATATTATGGTAAAAACAACTAACATTACTCCACTGCTATAGTCTACTAACATACACATTTTTTTTATCTATGGGCGTTGGAGTAGTATTTGGGTTAAAGCGTTCGCTCTTCACGCAGAAGACCCGGGTTCGATTCCCCACATGGGTAAAAAGTGTGAGGCCCATTTCCGGCGTCCCGCGCGACGTGCTATCACTGGAATATCGCTAAAAGGTGCATAAAGCTCACTCGTTTGATTCATTTTTGTTTCAGACGTCAAGAATAACAGTGTACAGATCTTTTACAAATACATCAGCAAGTGAGCCTTTCCCTTGAGAATTGATTGATTTAGTATGAAAGGGTGCGGCGATACACAACTACTTGTTTCAGTATACACACATTGTGTTTGCCACTCCCACATACACTGAATTACCCCAATGCCCCGTTGTCTATCAGGAAATGGATTTTCAGTAACCCGGAGGGGATTTCATTTTCAAGTCCGGAAATACGATAATAAAAGCTACAAAAACATGCCCATAATAATTAATTCTGACTATATCATAAGCATGTGGCACACGTCATAAACGCATGCAATGGAAAGTCAATTGTTCACCTGAAAAAACAACAACGGGAATATATGGTCAAATAAAAGGGAATTGCACAGGACATCATTTCTGTCACTGATGCTTCAAATGTGCACCACAAGTGCACCACATGCATGTCTATGTAAAGGCTTAACTGAAGCCTTGAATGCTGTAGCCTTGATCGAACAATGACGTTCTTAAAATTATTTGAAATTTTCTTAGAATATTACATTCTGATTGAAGTCTTTGGTAATATGTTCGCATACTGCATTCTGATTAAAATGTCTGACATCTTTTTAGATTATCGCATTCTGATTGAAATCTTTGATAACTTTTTAGAATACTGCATTCTGATTGGTCCGCCAGCAGCACCGAATTAACGTTAGACCATGATGTTGCTGACGACCGCATTACTGCGAAAGAACAGTTAGTTTCCGCCAGGCTGGCAATTTCAAATACCGATCTTACTTTATTAACGTTGCTAAATAACGTGTTACGGTTCCTAAATTATTCACTGCAAGTGTGGCAATATATATTATCATCCAACTGGCTCCCACAGGAGATATCGCTTGGATGAGATCAAGCGATATCTACACTGTAGATATCGCTGCAATGAAATTGCATCACAATGCTTTGCAGACCATTGTGACGTCATTGGTTACCATATCGTCACAATCAAATGACATCACTAATGGCCCTGCTACTGAAGCTGTGAGCAGTACTTTTTACACTTAAGACACTGCTTATTACTGTCTACAAACTGAAAAAGTTGGAAGAATG